TACAAATATCGTTCAATGCAGTATGGATTTGCGGTGTATTTAGACAACGTATAGCTCAAAATCACAAGTCTGGCTGAAAAGTGGTTAATGGGGTTACTGAGCAAGTAATTGCATTTCATATTCAATCTGCATGGTAGCGCCACTTTCCAACCGGCACAAAAGCACACAAATTTCTACCTCAAGCAGAACTGACGTGGACCATTACATAGTACTCTACGATGAGATCTTGTTGTGTGGATGGATAAAGGTTTCGTAGCGAGGATGTCAAAATACTCAACAAATCAGTTTTCATTCAATTCTTGATGAGCAATGACTCGTCTACCTTATAATTTCACACCAAGCCATACTGTATGTAAAGGCTATGATATTCAGCAGAACAAATAGTCACAGTTAAATCTTCAATGAATCTCGAAATTCTAGAATTCAAAAAGGCGATTTTCAAAGTGACTCTCTTTCGTTCTTCAAAACTTCAACGTCGATGATTGCTAAACCAACAGTACCATGCCACCCTAGGTACCAAACATATAGCCTAGAGAGCAAGATTTTTCTTCTAACGATTTCAAAGTCAATGACAGAACTTTTGAATTTCTGAGACTTCTGTATTCTAAAACTGTACGAACTTCAAGAACCCGTGGCTTGAGACAGCGAGCATGATTCGTCATTTATTGCTTAGATGGTCATAGAGAAATTTAACCTACTAGAAGTCTTTGTTGGATGGCTACGTCAATCAGCGTCCAGCTGATTACAACTATCTTATGATGCAATGAAAAAAAAATCTGAGAGAAAAAGCGGGAACTAACGGCTGATATCCAAGGCAAGTATCAATCTCGCTGAGACGAGAATGTGGATGTAGTGATGAACAGGTGATACTGCTTGGTCAGTATTTCTACAGAAATATTTCAAGCGCCTATATTCGAGCTGGTGATGGAATAATTGCCAGCTCATATGTTTGCATGCGTAATTCTTTTTTAAACCAATGAAAGTCGTTTAAAATGACTTTGATGTTAATTAACCAGAAGAAAAAAAGGATAAGTGTTCAAAATCAACAGTAATTCGAAATAACGATGTGCCTCGCAGACAATGCACAGTTACAGGTAATTATGCTTCTTATCATAGAAAAAACTCGCTCAAGCGCAAACCACGCGTCGTAAACGTAGTTAGAAAAACTTGGGACCTGCCTTTCGTAATTTACTTGCTTACTTGCTAACAATAAGTCAGGCAGAGTAAGTGAGCTTTGGCGCTTAGAAAATGAAGATCGTGGAAAGAGTAAAGAATGTCAGGAAGCGAACTTGTATTCGCTATAGAAGCTAGAATGGTAGAGAGTAAAGTTGAGACAAGGGAGAAAAAGAAAACCAAGAAGAAACACGAGACAGAAATGGCTTAAATTTATAAATATGCTGAATTTATTTTGTAACATCGTTAGAAATTAACTAGGGAAGCGATCGCACTTCTTAGCAAACTATCACAACTCTGTCGGTTTCTTGAACAAAGGTGACGAAAATTGATTTGCGGCGCACAAGCCGTTTGCAGTTTTTTTGTATTTTGAAAATTTTTTAGTAGGCACATTTACTAAGCCGCTTTCCACTATATATTCTAGTTGTTTATAGCAGGACTTTTGTTATCCTCTTAATATTACTCTCAGAATGTGTCTCTAAGTAGAGAAAATCATAATTTTGTAACTATTTTCAGGACAACATCGGAAGCGTCACACCATTCACAGCGAAGTTAAGGAACCGACTGTTAGCGAGCAGGTAAACCAATCTGGGCCGTTGTAGCTATAAGTGACAACTTTGGGACCAAATCCTTTTTGTATTTAAGAATTCAAGAGTATAATAGAATGACTAAGAGACAAAAGGAATTTCCCTAAAAGAACACTAGAAAATGCTAAAATCTGAGATTTGTTGGACAGTTGCTCTACTAATACTGTTTGAGGCTGTACCAGAGAGCGAACATTTTGATCGACCACGTCCTATTCGAATGAAGAGACAAACATGCAAAACAAAAGCCTCTGACGATCTGAACAATTTGAAACAGGACTTCGCAGCGCACTGTGATCGAGAGAATATGTAAGCACACTAAATATATTAGATGGTTACCAAACAGGTTACTCCGTTTTTCGCGTAAAGTCCAGACATTCATTTTCAGATGCCTTCCTGAGGAAGATCTTCCCGCTGGACC